CTTTTAATTATGCTTACAAAACTTATTCATGAGAGGTACAGAGAAGAATTAATAGGGATGCCTCTAGAGCTAATAAACAATATTTTGGATATCTACAAAGTAATCCTATAGAATGGAGATACATAGGTGCAAATAAGTCATTTGCATACTCCAGTGTTGATAATATGAGTTTTGGATTTTTGAACTTGGCTAGTAATGGATTTGTAAGTATTCAAATGATTAAATATTTAGATTTTGTAAATAAAAGAAGGGTGAAGAAATAAGAAAAAATCTTAAAAAGAGTGGGTTTAGTTTCAAGTGATAAAGCTATAGTTGAAGTAATAGAAGAAACAGGTTTAAAAGATGATTTGATAAAGGTTTTAGAGAATTTAGCTATAAGCATAGATGGAAATGATATAGTGGAAATATATTCAAGAGAGACTTATGAGGAATTAGAAAAGATAGTAGAAAATGGTGGACTTGCTACAAGCTATGGATTGAAACATGAGGCTAGAATACAAATAAAATATAAAACCGTGGTAAGAAAGATAAAGCCTATAGCTATCCAATTACCAGTTGATACTATGGAACATATTAAGTAAATAATTAAGGAGCCAAGTCTAAGAAAAAAGCGTGGAATTAGACATCAATTTATTCAAGAATTATTAGCTAAATTAGAGATTGGAAGGGATAATTTCTTGACATCAATGGAAAAAAATATGTTTCAAAAAATGCTTATTGAGCATGATAAGGCATTTTTCTTAACTCTTAATGAAATTGGATGTGTAGATCCTAATATTGTAGTATCTATGGTAATCTCTATTATGCCACATGTTCTATGGAATTTAAAGCCTATACTTATGTCCAGAGCTTTACTTCCAAAATTGATAGAAATATTAAAAGAGAAGGTGAAAATGGATATTTTAGAATCTTAACTTTCTTTTTATTCTAATAGATGGTTTTTAGTACCCAAAAAGCCAACATTAAGATTTATTTAGGATATATAATTTACAAATTGAATAACTATTCGAAACATGGGATTAGGTCTTGTAGTAGATGAAGTGGCTGAAAAATTTGTAAGTCATGCCATCTATTCTATTGGAGACTTATATTCTGAATATGACCAATTTCAATTGGCTAAAGAGAATAGAGATTTAACTACTATGAAGACTGCTTTGGATTTAATGAAGATGTATACCTTACCTCAAGGTGCAACCAACTTATTGGCTCATATGTAAAATACTATGAATCAAATATTGAAAGAATTTATATCTAAAAAAACCATTCTATTTTTGGATGATATATCCATAAAATGAGATAGAAAAGAAGACAAAGATGAGAATATAGAAGTTGAAGGTTGTAAAAATTTTGTCAAGAGGCATATTGAAGATGTAGCTCAGATATTAGAGAGATTGGAGTCAATTAATTTCATATTATCTTTGGAAAAATCAAGCTTTGGAGTTGATGAGATTCTAGTGGTAGCACATATGTGTGGCAAGTATAGTAAAAAATCAAACCTTGATAAAATTGATACTACATCTAAGATGAAGGCTTGTAAAAATATTACAAAAGCCAAAAGATTTTTAGGAGTATGTGTATTCTGTCACATTTGGGTACCTCACTTTGCTCATATCTTTGAGCCACTATACAAATTATTAAGGAAAGTTAAGAGATTTTTTTGAGAAGAATAAGAAGAAGCTATGAAGAATTTGAAAAAGATATTAAGTTTATCACCTGTGCTTAAACAAGTGGAGAAGATTGCAAGCGTGTTCGAGGCCTAGTAGGTTCTCCTTTATCCTTGGCATTCATTGGCAATTGGCTTATATGCTGGGACAACCATACTCCAAGAAATGATTTTTTCTCTCATAGAAAGCATATCTATATCGAAGGTTGAACTGTAGGCATTATTGGTGGTGTTGTATGTACTGGAGCTTTGGGTGCTTGTATTGTTTTCGAAATATTGCTCCTATCCTTCCTCCTTTCTCTTTTTGTAAGCAATCCCACTGCATCTTCAACGTTCTTCCACTTTGTTATCAATCCCTCATCTTCTTCTTTGTTTTCAAGAAGGAGTTCCAATTGTCCTTGCAATTCTCCATCTGCAGCTTGAAGAAATAGATCAACTTTGTTCGGCTCCAATGTGAACTTTTCTACCTTCGATAATTGAGAGTATTGCCTCTCAAATTTCCTTAGTAGCTGTGTTGCTTGCAAATTCTTATTAGGCCATTCAATCCATTCCAAAAACAGCTTCTTAGTAACGCAATCACCATCTTTCAAGAAATATTTGTCTTTCAATGCATGTGAAAAAACCTCCCATGAATTCCCATAACGATCCGTAATCGATGTAATATGATCTCTTATCTTCGGAATCATGGCAAGTCCAAATAATTCAACCATTTTCTTCTCGTAAACCCGATTTAATTCCATTTCATGAACATAACATCTTAAATACCTTAAAATATTCCTTCCATCAAATTGATCAATTTTATTGACCACTGCTTGCAATGCTTTGATTACCAAAGCTTTCTTTAGATCATTGTTTTGCTGTTGCTGTATTGATAATGAGAAGGCTTGAAACATACTAGCAATAGACGGATCCATATGCATACCTTGTCCTTTAGAAGAACCCTCACTAGAAACTCCTCCCAAAGATCCTTCAAAATTTTTATTTTCATTCTCCATAAAAATAAAAATAAAATCAAATAAAATCAAATAAAATCCAATACCTTCCACCTCAAGCTTTCACATCGAGTTCACCACTTATGTCGTATTACGTGTTTTTCTACTCGAGAACGCACCGGACATCTAGCTGTAGAAGGTAGTATCGAGATTTGCTAATATTCAAGCAGTCTATCAATTTTTGACTATTGAAATATAAACGATTGTAAGAATATACCATAAATCTATACGGATGTCCTTCGACTGCTCGCTGAAATCCTTTTTGCCTCAGTCGATAAGTCTCTAGATGTTACAAAGAACCCTGAACAATCCAATCTACTAATCTCCAGTACCGCTTTATACTCACGACGTTGTATCCACTAATTGTCTTGTTAGATTAATCCAAAAATTTTCATTCACTCTGCATACTCAATCCTATAGACACCCTTTTAATTCTTCAATCATAGATGTAACTTCGATTTCACAAAACAGTCAAGAGTAATCACACCCACTTCATTAAAACCCCGATTCACCAGTACAACACATCGACCTTTCAGCATTGATCGCCAGAAGTCCCTTTTCTGATGCCTACCCAAAAACCTTTTATCCTCCTTTTTTCTTAACCTCCCTAATTCCCAAATCTCTGAATCTTTTCCTCCATTCTAATTATTTTCGAATGTTTTTTTTTCTCCCCTCTCAAACCGTAGCCTTTGAATTTCTTCAATTTTTTGTCTTAGATCTAGAATTGGCTCTGCCATCAGAGCTTTCTCCACCATTTTTTGCCTTTTAAAAGGTTCTTTTTCTGAAAATAATATTCCCTGAAACAGCACAAAGAACAGGACAGCCTGAAATGGAATCAAAATCTCCATAATTGGGACCACATTGAGTCGCCCGACCAAATTAGGTCTCATATTGGCTAAGAGGCCTGTAGTAAGACCTGGATGTTCCCGTAATTGGGTCAAATTGGTCCTTCGCATCAGGCTCGCTCAGTCATCGATTTAATCCTTTCGATTCTGTTGACTCCCACTATTAGACAAACTTTTGAACAAACTTTTGAAAAAAGGCCTCATTCAAGAAAGGTAATTATTGGATCTAAGTAAAGTAGAGTTTTTTCTTCAAGCTGTTAATGGAGAGTTATAAGAAAAGTTAGAAATCTTACTTGAAGATAAAAAAAAAAGATGAAGAATCGACAATAAATTGTAAGGAAGTCAAAGAGGCAATAGGATTGTTGGTAAAAAAAGAAAGAAGAAAAGATAAGTTAGGTATTCAAAGACTATTATAATCATTTAAGTTAAAAATATCTACTATCCATCGAACATCTTTGATTCAACCTTCGATGGCTACATCAAATAAAGAAAAAATGAACATTAATGAAATCATATACAAGATGAAAGATTTACAAATAAAATTTGCAAAACTTGAAGAAAAGTATTAATCATCAAGAATATCAATAAGATAAAGATTAAGGCCAATAGAAGGTGTAGTGCATAGGTGCATGTGATGTGATAGCACAAATCATTGAAAAAGAAAATGTGAAGATTTTACAAAGGTGCTACATAAAAGAGTTATTTTTTTTAAAGATGGTATGATACATTCAAAAAAAAGTGGAGAAAAATTAAAAAAAAAATTTTGATAAAGGAAGAATGAAGGTATTTGAGGAAGATGCTTTTAAAGAGCATATAATTTCAAGCAATGAAGCATCAATATATTGGGTGGAAGAAAACTATAGTAAATATTTAAGTATAAATCTTGAATTTTTAAGAAAATCTAATTCTTTGTGGACAAGTACAATGAATTACGCTGAAAGAAATAAATTTACTAGAGATGATTTAAAATAAGTTGGTAATAACATTCAACAAATTATTCAGTGGGATAATCTAGTAGATGGATTATCTATGCATGCTCATGTTGAAAGGAGTCAACATGATACATTAATAGAAGAAAAATAAAGGAGATATAGAAATAATGAAGGGCCTTTAAAAAAACTACAAAAAGAGAAAAAGCTCGAAAATAAAAGAATCCTATACACAAAGAGATAACAAAAAATATTTCTACAAAAAAAAAGGAAAATTGAAAAAAAAAAAAAACAAAAACAAAAACTCATGCTTATAAATTACAATTAAATATTGAAGCTACTAGAGATTTGAAGAAAGTATTAGAATAGATTTTAAGTAGATTGAATTTATAATGCTCTTGCTTAGTTAAGAAGAAGAGATATTATCTATTAAACTTATTGAGATGATGCAAGATTGTATATCTTTTTTTAAGACTATCGACAAGATGAATAAGATAGATGAACATTATATTAAAAATATTAAAAATAACTTAAAAAAAATAAAAAATTAGATAAAAGTGAATAAATGAAATTCTCTAGAAAACGACTTGATTTATTATTGTGAAAATAATGGTTGAAGAGCAAAATAGCTCTCCATCTTCTTTCTTCACCATTACTTGAGGATTCAAGAACTCAATAATTCTTCATTTTCTTCCTTCACAATCACTTGTGGCTTCAAAAGTGGAATAAATTTCTATCATTTTCTACCATATCTCAACTACAACTAACTTTATTTTTTCCAACATTCTCTAATTTTTCACAATTAACAAATAAATAACAATTTATTATGTCAAAACACCAAAAATTAAGTAAATAGAATTTTGGTGTATTATTTTGGACTTATACATGGCAAATCATTTAGAGCTATTTGTTAAAATAAGATGGATCAAGAATTCTTTTACCATAGCAAGTGCATCTTATCTTCAAGCACACAATTATTCCCCATAGAAGTTCGTCTTTAAAAGACATTATTTTTTGTATAAAAACACAAATACAATAATAATCTAAATAACAATTGAAAACAAAAAACACTACAATTTTTTTGAAGCAATCTCACAATTACTACTCCTTGACAAAAGCACCAAAATGTAAGCTAAAATAAACCTCCACTAGTTAGAAGTTTATTTTAGTTCACAACTAACAAATTAATTATGTTAATTACAAACATTATAACTCTTATTTACTTCTCCATTAAATAATCTTTAAATCTTCTTAAAATCCCATGTTGTTAAGGAACCTCTACTATTTACTCTCTCTTACAATAGCAACCTATTCACCATGTGCATGTATAAGAAATTATATTTTTTAATCCTTAATTAGTTATATATTTTTTAATCCTTAATTATTTATTTATTTGATTAATTTCTATCTATCAACACAAAAATTCATTCAAGTATAATTTGTCATCCGTGAATGACTTTTCATCCATGAATAATTTCTCATCTAATTCAAAATTTCATCCTTGATTAGATTTATCATCCAACATCCAATACTTCATACCAAACCCTAATTGAGTACTTCTTAAACATAAATCTTCCTAAAAACTTGAATTCACATTGTGATCTTTTACTGATAACAGAGTCGAGAAGAGTGCTTACCTCTATAGGCTGCTTCCTCCATCGCCTACTAGAATCCCAATGTCTTCTAGCAGTCTTCTGGTTCTTCAATTCCCATCCTTTCTGGAATTATTAGGTTCCTTTATCATGCGGAAGTTGCTGATGGAGGTCCAGTCTTGGTTCTGACTGTTCCAGCAACCCTCTTTTCCACTAACTTCTTGCAAAATTTACTGGAAGAGACTGCACTCTCATCTCAATTATGGCTAATCTTGAATCAGACTATAGTGTACTACACTATGCGCTATAAGTGAACTCATGTGGATGAGTGGGTGAATTGTGCAAGGATGCTCAATAATCCAATGAAGTAAGAGGTTAAACTACAGTACTTACTTACTAAGCGAGCACAATTTCTCTAACCCTAGAAAACGTCGTTCCGTCTTGCTGTGCTTTCTTTCTATCTCTAGGCTCATTCAAAAAATCTAGTTGGGTGTCATGACTTGGAACTCAATGGATTATCAATTTTTTGGATGTCTTAAATCATCGTGATCTGCCTTTTTCAATTCCTTCCGTGTGCGTTGATCCCTGGCCAAGGGACGAAACCACACATATGTCGTGCATCAATCAAATGCAAGGTAACGCTTATAACAAAAGTGACCAACTACGACGTTGTTTTGTCATCGATCTCCAAACTAGATATGGGTGGTCAAATATCACCGAGTCTATGGCCGAACTATGGTTGACTGGAGTCAACAACACCGTCTCCAAATCCACGCTATTGCTTGAATTCGAAGGAACAATCACCTTCCGCTTCAACTGCGCATTCTACCAGCTCGTCAAATATTGTCAATGTTGCAGCGTACATCAGAATCGCAACGCCCCAACATCCATGCACTACACGAATAACCACAAGAAGAAAGAAAAACCAGAGATCCGCTTAATGTGAAGCTCATCCACAACACACACCACTGGACTTGATTCTTGCTGGAGACGCAATCTTCAGATTGAATCGCCTCGATCAGCTCAGTTCCACTTAGTGGCTGATCGCTCAGCCGCTCAGCAATAGCAGAGAAGGAACGTAGACAAGCCGCTGCTTAGCCGCTCCACTCTGTCCACCACACAGTAACCAATTCCGGAGCGTTAGAGCTCGTGAATCGTGAAGAGAGTAAAAACAAAAGACAAGAAACCATAGCACCACCATAGCCCTTGCAACGCAAAGGAACAGGAAAAAAATTGGCAATGTCACAACACAACAACGATTCTACCCTAGCCGCAACATACTGTTTTTCACAATGCAAAGGAGACAAGAGAACCGTTCTGAAATGATCGGAGCTCGTCCCACGCGAGAGAGAAAAAAAAAACTCCAAAACAAGTGAGAGTGGGATCCGGGACGGCCCAGATCCCTATCGGCAGAGAGACTGCCGGAAGTTAGGGCAACCTCCCGTCCTTGTGATCATATTCTATTTTCTCTATTTTTTTTTTGTTTTTTTCTTTTCTTTTCTTTTCTTTTCTCTTTTTGTCTTCTTTTCCTTCGTCCTTCTTTCTTTCGTGTAGTACTCTTTTTTTTTCTTCATTCTCCTTCTTCTCTTTTCTTCTGTTATTCTTTTCTGCTTTCCACCTCTTCTGTCTATTACATATTATATATATATATATATATATATTTCTTCTTTGACCTTGCTTCCAATTTTTATTTATTTATTTATATCTTATCATATATATATATATATATATATATATATTTTAATTTATTTTTTGACACCAAGATTACTTCTTTTGTATTTCTTTTAATATTAGCTTACTTAGAAAAATATAGTCTTATAGAATCTTTCTTACAAAATTCTATCCTAGATTACATATCTACTATTAGCAATCTATTTTCTATTTTTTCCTAAAATTCTAATATTAACTCATAAAATTTATGTTTCAAGCATAATAAGTGTATTTTTTATACTAAATATCAAAGTGAGTCAATTCGATGGCTCACATATGGCAACCATCTAGAACAACACAAAGAAGCAAAGAATCTAGAATTCTTGCACCACATGGAGGTCCTTATCTAAAGTTAGGCATATTAGAATTTTTATTCTAACCAAACTGCACTAGCAGTATTATAGAACCAAAGCAAAAGTATTGACATAAAAGATTATGTGCAATATTAGTGCACTTCTTTTTCCTAATACTACTTTTGTCAAATTAGAAGACTATTGAGTATTTAGTCTATTTAATAAAGCAAGATGAGATAATTCTATGAGATAAGAAATAACAAAATAAAAAAAAGAAAAATAATAATTCTAAATAAAAATCTAAAAATTGGTGCTATATATTTCTTATCTTGGAAGAAGAATTGAAACTTGAAGCCATGAGGCCTATATATCCTCTAAATTGTAGAAGTTGGCTACTTTTCTACCCTAACACTAGCTCATATAGATAGCTGCTTTTTTTTTACTAGATTCAAATCTAGACCACCTCTGACATAACCACTTTTGTAAACAACTGCCAAGCAACCTGAAGATGCTAACCAATTCTAAGTTATTTCTAAATCCTATGAAACAAGTTTTTATTTTTATTTTAATTTTTTAGGATTTTTTTAGGATATTTCAGTTAATAATTAGTTGAAGAATTATTATTCTAATAGAACTAAAGACTACATAAAGAATAATTCTTGTCTTTCTAATGGATCAAGATTCCTATTTTCTTAATAAAAATCAAGTTTGACTAAGTTGTTTAGCTAGATCCTTATTCTATTAAGTAGACAAAGATTATTATGTTTTTTCTTCTATGCAATAGATTTTTTCTCACCTTATACTCTTTATATCTATTTTTAGATTTTTTTTTTGGAAATAGTTCACCATTTAGTATTTCTAACTATAAAGAGTTGTTATCAAACACTCTCTTGATATGATAAGGTCTTAACCATAGAGCATCAAAAATTTCAAGAAAATCCATTCTCTTGGTATCTTATAGCCTTATTAGTATCTTTGGATATAAGATCTTCTTCTTATATTTTTTTTATCAAAAGTAATTTTTCTCCTTCTTTGAATTACTTCTATATGTTGAGTCCTTGTCCTTCAAATTTCATGAAGGCCTACTAATTATTCTAATCTATTTTTTAAAGATTTTCAAGTGGTTAACCTTTCATCTATTACTATCTTTAAAAAAATTATTTCAAATTCTATGGGAGGTATAGCTTCTACTTCATATACTAAGGAAAATGAATAGTCTTAGTTGTGAGCTTATAAGTTATACAATAAGTCTACAAGATTATAGATAATTTTGTGTTCCAATCCCTCTTTGAGTCTTGTATTGTTTTTTTTAGGATATTTATTAAAATTTGATTCACTCTTTCTGTATGACCATTAATTTGTAGAAGATAAGAAGTAGTCATACAATAGTTTATATTAAACTTATTAGTCATATTTTCTATCACTTTATTCAAGAAATATGTTCTTTGATTAATAATTAAAATTTTAAGACAATCAAATTATGTTATGATTTGCTCATACATAAAGTTAGCTGTATTGTTAACATTCTTGATTTTGATAGCTTGTACTTTTGTCCATTTTGTATAGAGATTTGGATTCTATTCTTCCATGAATCAAAGATAATGTAGAGCTTGTCGCCTCCCCAACTGACTATGGCTTTTGAATCCTTCAATCATGGCCTATCAAGCAATAAAAAAAAGGAATATTTTGACATATGCATCCAAATGACATGATATGTCAAGGCATATTCTTCTCCTCATATCCAAATTTTACAATTTTTAATTTGGCATACTAGAATGGATGGACTTTGATTTTTTATCATGATAACAAAAGGAGATGGACTAGTGATATTCAGTTCTAGTTTTTTCATAGTTTAGAAAGGCATGATATTCAAATTACTACCACTATCTACAATGGTATAGGAAATTATTTTGTCGACAATAGAAACTATGATTATTCAGATTATTACTTGGCTCATGTTCAATCTCAAGATTTTGAAAGGATAATTCTTCCACAAAACGATCAATTCTTCCACCAAAGGATCAATTCTCACAGATTTGGCCATACTATTTTGAATTGCCTTAATTGTATCTTTTGTGACTTGCTCTAAATCTAAAAAACAAGGTAGTTTCTCTGAGGCACTACTCTCTTCTCCTTAATAGATAGGTAAAGATGCAGCCCTAGATCTAGTCATTACTACTAAGATAGGTATCGCTATCATATGACGTGATTTGCTATTTGAAAATATACTAGGTACCTAGTTGTAGAGATTTTAGCTTAAACCTTTATATGAATCTTGTCTTAGCTTCCAAAATTCCTTTCTTATGCATAAAACTCAAAATATAACAAAATCCCTTCAAAACATATTTTTCCCACAAAAGATTTTCTCTTCTAAAACTTCAAAAATTCATAACACTTGATCTAAATATTTAATTTGTCTAAAATTTGAAGAGTAGGTAGAATTCACCCTTAAGTTTTACCACAAAAGAAATTAATTGCAAATTCACTGTCGATCTTTTGGCATCTAAGAAATCCTAGTAGATGCTCTAAATCCTAATTTAGAAGCACTTGAACACTATTTTCTTAATATCTCAAGAATCCAATACTTAAATGTCATCAAAATTATGTATAAATTTTATTAATATGAATATACACATTTCTTGAAATTTTGAGCCAAAACCTTATCAAATTACTCGAGATATAACTCGAGACACAACCACTAGTAAATCGGGTCACTTACTATTGTTAGATTATATGCGCTAACTTCAAAAATCCAAAAACTCCTTCACTTTAACATGGAATCCAGCAAGCAATATACAAAAAGTATAGCCGCAAAAGTGCTTTCTTCAATCGTAGTTGCCGATCCTCAATTGCTATCCGTACACGTGCATTATGCCAAAAAGAGTGGCAGTAGCTTTCAAATCAATACCTTAACTTTGAGTGCTTGTATCTCCTTCATATAAACTCCAAACTGTACAAAACTTGTACCAAAACCATAGCCAAAACTCTAAACTTGCTGACCCTAGTCTTCAAAGTTCGAATGGCCTCAAAAAACTAACCTTAATCTGTAATATGGCCTTAGGCAGCCTCCTCAAAGCGTATTGGTTATGATTTTTAACCAATAGGAATTGAGATTTTTATCATTCATCTCCATTCATCTATATTGGTGCCTTAATTACTTCTTTTGATACCAAAAACCTTCTTCAATCTTTTTTCTTATAAGATTTACATAATTTATGCTCTAAACACCAAATAAAAGAACCAAAATAAGTTTCCAAAGATCACCAATGTCTAATAAAGGTGATTCTAAATATTTAGAAGTTACTATCAACCAAAACCAATCTTAAAAGCCACTATCAAAAGAAAATTAAAGTTATACAAATTCTATAATAATCTTTTTAAACAACCTCTTTTCAAAGTAATAATCAAATTATATTCTACAACCAACTAAAATCTACTAATATGGCTCTCACCATGTTACTTAATAAATTATATGTTAAATACATAATTACATTATTTTCATATAGTAGCCGAACTACAATACAATACCATAGATAGGCTCTTTTTCTTAGATTTATTTTTTTTAAAAGTTATTAAATTTAATTTGAGAAAAAATGATTGATTGATACTAAGTTTGACAAAATTTTGAACAGGTTCCAACTCTCTTATAGATTGAGACATCAATCTCATATCTTGACACCTTTGGCCATGTCTTAATTAATTAGAAGGATTTTGATTTTGATTAGGATGAAGTGAAATATATCAAGAATTAGTTTGAAGCCCACTAGATGCATTCTCATTCTATCTATTTTTTTCATAGTCAAAATATAAGTTTGAGGGCCTTAGGTTATTATTTTTTGGAGGTTGTCTTATTTTCTTATAATTATCAAATGACTATTGAGAATAATTACCAAGTGAAGGTTGTAAAGAAACTATTCTATTTGATTTTCTACAAAATTCTACAGCATGGTTACCACTACAATTTCCACATTCTACTTGGTTTTCAATCCAACATTAATCAGGTGGATATTTTTTTCCACAAAAAGTGTAAAATTCTACTTGTAGTATTGATAGATTTATAGAACCTTGGCTCTTAGTATTAAATCCTTCTTATTCTATATTATGCCCTTAAAAGGTTTAGTTTATATGTCGAGGAGCATATGGTTGGAAGTGTTGGTTTTGTAGAAGAATGGAATTATAAAATTGAGTCAAATATCTCAATTATCCACATTGAATACACCATAATCTTGTTGTATGTCTATCTGACTTAATGGGAGATGGAAGAGGATTTGGGTTGGAATTTCTAGTTAATCCAGCTAGTTGTTTTATTATCAACTTCATTTGATGAAAGATTTGGATTTGGAATTCTAGTTGAGATGCCCTCATTTTTTTTTGTAAATCCTCCTTTTACCTATTATCTTCACTAGGATAGGTTAAACTT